GCTTGGCAGTTTATGTTTAGCTATTATATAGCTTAAAAATGTCAGTAAATTGATATATGATTAAACTTGATAGAAAAAACATTATCTGGGTTTTCTATGATACTTTAATTTTTTTAATTACATTTATGTATTATATACAATTTTTGAACATATAATATAGTGTGATTATAAATTCTCATTTATCATTTATCACTCAAAAACTGAATTATTGTAAAAAAAAACCTACATACCAACACAGATGTTTTTACCATCGAGTTTCATAATAGGATGATTCCCTCTTATTTTAAATTAATAAAGCTTAACATGTTCTGTTGAGTGTAAATTACATATTTTAAGCATATATAAGATGTAGAAAACAAGTATAGAATCCTCTTAAGGTAAAATTATATTTAATATAATTAATACATCAAATAAGGCAAAAATTACATGACACCTTCACAAATTTATATACCGTGACAAAGTGGTAGGGGATAGCTGTTTAGATGTATCTATTAAAAATGTTAAGATATGCATAGTTACTTTCTGATCCTAATGAAGTGTTTTTGACAATTGCACTCAACAAGGAACGTAGACTATTTAATACTTTTAATCTCCAAACACTCGTAGTTGTATGTTCGTTGATTTGTACAGTGAGCTTCCGAGAAGTTGTATCACTTAGTTTTGAAGATATTAAATCTAAAAAACCCGGCAACACTACAGTCTAAATTAAATAAGCGAAACAATTGATTTAGTTGGTTTGTATGATTAAAACAATAAATGCATATAATACCTGACAATGAATCGCTGTAAGTTTAGGATTTTTAGCTATGAGAACGTCCAGCACGTTAAGAGATGTCTCTCTTACAGCTGAGTTTATGTGACTCATTGCACAAGCTAAATATCTAATGACGATTTCAAAAGAAGGAGCAATCTGCTTTTCTTCTACAGCTGTTAATATTGACGATAATAACTTAACAGCTAATTGGCGAATGTCCGCCTCACTATCTAGAGTCAAACGTGAAGCGGCTTCTAAAAACGATGACAAGTGAACTGCCATAGTTTGAGGAGGATAAGAAGCTACTAAGTCTATAAGACCTTCGAGTCCAGACTGCCTTTGCCACATGTTATGATGATTTAATCTCGACAGCAATTCCTTCAAAAATKCAGAACGTAAGTGTGATGAAAATTTATGTTACATTAATTTAATTACTTACTTTGATGTTTAAGTTTCCTTTCGAAAGTATCTCGTGYTCACCACGTTCTTTGAGTTGGCCATGCAGCACGATCTTACGTACTTTGAAATTTGTATCCGTTACATTTTGTCCTTTGGGCAGCAGTGTCTTATGCGATACTTTCAAATGTACTTTGGCTTTTTCCTTTTTCACAAACTTTCTTTTTCCAGACTTCACCATAATGAGTTTTTGTTGTGATTTACAATGATATAAAACAAATTAAAACGTAAAATCACGTCGTATACCTAATGTAGTAAGTAAACTAAATCAAAGTATCAAACATGGACAGTTGACSTGTTGATGGCGAACTTTATGCGTCTATAATGCTGTAACGCTGTGTGCTCTAGCTCTAAGTTTATGACTAAGCAGCGGCAAGTGATAACTGATCGGTAATGAGTGATAACAGACCGCGTTGAAACTTGAAGCCACGAGGCTATGCAGTGCGAGCCGCGTACRAAATACGAATAAAAGTGCATAACTTTAGGACACCAGCTACTTGCAGTGCGGCCAATAGTAATCTCGAGAGCCGACAACGTCACATCGATCGACGGAAACGACGTGTGATCCGGCAACGTTGCAGCCAACCGTACGAGAGAGTGAGGAAGTGAATGAGTGAAACAGACTACAGACCTTTAGAGACTATAATACTTATAAAGTTATAACATATATTATTGAAGTTATTCACTATTATTAATTATTAT